AGTGATTTTCTCCTTTTTCTGGATTAAAAAAAAATAAGTAAGCCTATAAGAAAAAAAGCCCACATTTTATTTTCTCTGCTCATGTTATATCTGTAGTTAGTCAATAAAGTACCTTTCTTTTTTTGACATTTGATACTTGGCCATCAACTGTTATTTTATAGTCATTGTAGGGCTTTCATTTTTAAACACCTTGTCTTTGATGGCTTGAGACCTTGACTTTGGCTTCACTACACGAAGATAATTATTCTACTGCCTTCCTGCCTGATTGCTCAGCCCCCATTTAAAAAAAATTCTATAAAGTGGTAATGAAACCTATTTTAGATAGTTGTGGTAATTAAATAACAACATACACGGCACCTTGCACAACAAGGACACTTCAATATATTATCTTCCTTCATCCATTATAGGTACAACCCCCAAAGTGGACTTTTCTTTGGGCATTTCCTCTCTTTATTGTGGGTGCATTTCTTCCATTCATTTACTTTTATCATTATATGTTTACATATATTTCCTTCTTTTTCCAGTTTTAGATTTCTTAAACCTCTTAAAAATATTCTCTTCCTCCCTTTTTGTATTCTGTTTTATAGCCTCCATATCTACCACTTCTTTATTTTCATTTTATCTCCTTCTATTTTAAAAATAAACATTAAATATAAAATATTGTCTTGGCTGTTTGTGGAAGAACATTACTGTGCAGTAGAAGAGACATTCTGGTTTTATAAATAGTGTAAGGTGTTTCAAATAAAGCCTGAGACGAGCTTTAGTCAGCTTCCAGATCTTACCAATATGAAAGAAAAGTTGAGACACACTTCTGGGTGTTGTTGCCTTAGGATAACCAAAGCTGTTGTTTGTAGCTGTAATGTTATTGAAATAAAAAAAACCCCTCAAACTCAAGACTCTTCGGTTTAAAAGCCATTGTACCTTTCTCATCATCCATCTGTACCAACTTCAGTGGTATCTGACCACTAATTTAATAAAAAGGGCACTGTACATTTTTCTCTCCCATATTAAGTTCTTGTTTGTTGCAAAATTAGCCTAACATCTTGCTTTTGTGAAATCCTCTGAATTTCATATTTTTGTGGAATAAATCTCATACATGGAATAGCTATCTTTCAACCAAATTCTCAATAAACCCAATTTCCAAAGTCACTATTTTAAATTTTCTTTTGCCTTTTTTTAAACCTATTTGTCCAAAAAAGCATTAATGTAGCATAACACTAGAAAAGCAATGTTCATGCTTCTTTTTAAACGGTCATTTGCTTTTACTAAGTTGATCCCTCTAGGCTCTCTGTTATGGTTTTTATAATGCTAATAGGAGCTTCCTAAAAACTCCTATTGCACCAGGTATGAGGGTAGATAACAAAGTTTTATAATCTCAAAGGAACTTTTTGTAAAGTAACTCAGTCAAAAAGGGAAATGAGAGTAATCAGTAAAGGCAGGAAGAGAAACCATAAGGGTTAGATATTTACTTCAAAGTTTCTCATCCTTACTCTCCTTTCTCCAACATAAACACATTTAGGACTAATATAGTACTTTCTTTTCTTACTTTTTTTGAGAGTAGCTTTCCCTTTGGAAGTCAAATATGAGCAACTGAGTAGGCATGAATATACCTGTTTGTCAAAAGCCAAAATTAGAGAACATTGTTAAGCAACATTCTTGGATTGCCAGTTCTTATGAGCACTGACCTGGGTTGTTATGTATAAACAATGTGAACATAAATGTATTACAGGTTCTGAGACAGCATATTTTTTCACTTGTTTTATTGTCCTTTTCTGACAGTTTTTCTAAAATATTTTAAGATAGTTGGATTTATACATCAAAATATGAAGTTCATAATTGAATGGTATAATCGTGGATTCAAATTTTATTTTTTATTTGAAGTCAATTTACAGAGATGTTTATATTTAATATTTAAAAATTACAGAGAGATTCAAGTAATAATTAATGGAGCCATGACTTGTTTAAATGGTTAAAAACCAGTTCAAGACTGCCAATCTGGTTATGCAGTCTGATTCACTGACATACGTATTTAATTGGAAATGCCCCAAGTGTCCAGAGCCTTTTCCTTAGCTGGGTAAAAGGCCAGGTGCCCAGGGACATCCCTGCTCCAGAAAAGCAATTGTTTCTGTCACTTCTATACCTGGCATGCCTTGAACATAGTGGACAGTGATAATTATTGTTAACATTTGTGGAGGTTTACTATGTGGCAGGAAGTGCAGTAAGTCCTGTACATGCATTAACTAGTTTACTGAGTGCTGAGGCATTGAATAAAGGGACGGTCAAAGCTTCCAGCTTCCAACACATAGAAAAACCTTTTGTACTCAACTAATTAATTGGGCCCAGAGAGTTATGGACATTTTATTATTTTTTCTTTGTGAGTAGATTTTGACAATATCCTTGACATCTTTTGACAGTAAATATTTAAACTGAGTTGATGTTAAAAAGAGGTTTTCTGAGATACTTGATGTTGATAATGTTTTAATAACTTTGCCATATACTTCAATTCAAGTAAAGATCATGGCAGTTTCTTTTGGATACCATTTCTGCACATTAAGTACAATTTGTAACAACATTGTAAGATAAATTCACTCAAAAACTATTTTAAAAATCCCCATGCAGTCTAATGTAATTGTCATTTGGAGAACACATCCAATGATTTGTAATTTTCTCGTGATTAAACTTCTTTAAAGTATTGATAATCTCATATATCATCAGAGTGAACTTGCCACTTATAAAATATTAATTATTCATTATATCCAAGAATTACATCTGCCTATTCTTTTTATTATAAAACTGTCCTGAATAAATCAGCCCATTATAATTACTGTATATACTTAACCTGATTAAACAAAAAATGGCAAACTATTATGAATTTTTTAGCACAGAGAACATATAAATTTTACTAATATGTCATATAATTATTTAAAACATAATGAAGGCATGCTACTAAAATACCCTCATTTATAGCCCATGTTTCTGGTTAAAATACACCGACAGACACACACACACACATGCACACACACATGCAGGTTTATGTCTGCTGATTTTGTGGAGTTTTGATCTAACTTCTTTTTTAATTTCTCTAACATTTAGAGTTCTTCAAAACAGGAACTGTGCCTTTTGAATGTCATAATTAGTGGTGAGAACAGCACAAACTAAGTAAATACTATTTTGATATAATTTTTAATATAGAAGGGTAATGCTTATGAAATGTTTCAGGTGGTTTGGTGTCTCAGGCATTTGTTACGTGTCCAGGTGACTTATTTAATCTTGATGTGTAGCCAAAATAAAATGAAGAATTTATGTATTCTAAATAAGAGTTTCTTTAAAGAATTTAGACTTTTTGTTAACTGCTGAACAACCATATGTTGCTAAACTAGTATGTTATGTTTATCATCAAAGTTAATATTCAATTGAATGTCTTAAAATATTGAGAGGTACCATTATAGGATAAATACCTTGGAAAACATTTATATTCTGCCATTGGTTTGTGAATCTAATTAAATTTCTTTGAAATTATTTTTATTTTGGAAAATGCCTAAAAGGATCATATAGCCAAATAAGAACATAATTTTTTTAGGAGATTACGGAAAATTTTTGTTTTGTCTTTATGTTTTAATGTAGCATCTGCAATAGAATAATAAAGTATTTAAAATATAGTTTACTGCATGCTAAACTGATATTCTGTATACATTCTTAATTACTGAGATTTCTACTAACCTAAAGATCACTTATAATAATACTGCTACCCGAATTTTGTGACACAGAAAATGGCATTTTGTTTCAGAAGCTTCTAGAAAGGCATGATGTCACTTTGGGGGCTTGGGATGAGTATTTTGAGGCTAACTTTAAGGAATCTGTGTGTGTGTGTATGTTTGATGTGCAGCTCCTGTTCTTCCTGGGGCCTATCAGCAAAGCCATTCCCAAGGCTATGGCTACATGCACCAGACCAGTGTGTCATCTATGAGGTCAATGCAGCATTCACCAAATCTAGTAAGTGTCGATTTGATGTGTTCCTCCTTGTGTGGTCTTCTCATTTCACCTTAAACATATAAATATAATTGAGCTGGAGTGGAGTTGAGCTGGATATTGGGCATTTTCATAAAAATAGAAATTTCATATAAGGATAACGATAAATGATGCCACTCTTTCAAGGGAAGGAAAAAACTTGCATCGAAAGGAGAAAAAGGAAGGTATTGATAAGCATTATATAAAATAATAAAACATACAAAGAATCTACTAGAACAACATGCTAATTGTTACTTCATGATTGATAATAGCCAATTATGATCGCTGTTCAGGTCTAAAAAGCATAGATATTTGAAGGTCATTTTAACAAGTTCGTCTTGATATTAATCAAAATGGCCACAAAAGCCTAAATTACCTGCCCCAAATATGCCTTCAAATTCCCTTATTGGAAATTTTGAAGTACTGATTCATTCATTCATTCAATGTAAAATGTGAATGTAGTGTTTAAGATCAACTAATTACACTTGGCATCTCATGCTGACGTTGCTTCTTCAAACCCTTGACATAATCACTTGGCCTTTGCTTGAACACTTAGGAACAGGTAACTCTTTCAAGTTGTCTGGAAACTTGAACTAAAGTTCTTTGGGTTCCAGCCAGTTTTCTCAGTCCATGAATACACTTGATTTTGAGATTGTCTGGTATTAATATTAGCTAAACACTTATCCTTAAACAAAAACAAATATAGGAAAACTCAGTTTAAAATCTCCTCACTATAACAAGGATTTAGTTATATGTACCTCAACACTCAGAACATTTATATACTAAATGTCTCCCATGGTGATACAAAAACCAATAAAATGAGTATATTGTGAATTTTTTCTTTTATTTCTTTTACATATTTTTAAGTGACAACACAAATTCTTGGTATCTATTTAAGAAAAGTTCATTGCTAGGAGAGACTTGGACCTGTCTGACACTATGGCGGATTTTGTTCTCTGAAGAATGTAGAATCATGGAGAACCTACGTAATCTAAGGTTTTTGGGGTTATTTGAAGCTGGGAGAGTTGGCTTTACTATCTCAAAGCCTACTTTTTTGACAGGCCAGCTATTATATTTAGTGGCTCTTTCTGTCCTCATTCTGTTTCCCAAATAATTACACTTTTTACTAGACCAGTAAACTTGAGATCAGCACAATTAGATGCTAGACTCTGGTTCACAGATTTCCATAGAGAAAGTGCTTGAGAGCATTCCTAGTACTTTATATGTGGGTTTTGTTGTGATTGGAATCTGTGGCTATAACGATGTTGGCATTCACCAGATAATCTTTTCTTCCTTTCTCAGAGGACCTACCGAGCTATGTATGATTACAGTGCCCAGGACGAAGACGAGGTCTCCTTCAGGGATGGTGACTACATTGTCAACGTGCAGCCCATTGATGATGGCTGGATGTACGGCACGGTGCAGAGAACTGGGAGGACGGGGATGCTCCCGGCAAATTACATCGAGTTTGTTAATTAGTTATTTCTCCTTGTCCTTCGAGCTTTATTCTAATGTATTCTAAACCTACTCTTTTTAAAAGATAGAAGATACTTTTAAGACACCTTGGCAGTTATTTTACGATGATGTATCCTTACTTTGACAATTAGACACACAGGTACCAGGGAGAAGGAACGAGTTCTGGGTTGAAAATGGTAACATTTTTAGCAGTTCCTAGAAACAAAAGTCTTTACATCTGGAGACCTGGTGCTGCTAATTGAGTTTGTGGTTTCCTTTGATTGGCTATTGAACCCTTCTGGAAAAATGTATTTTTGTAGACTTTAATAGCGATGATGATTGTCCTTTAGATGTCACGAGTGTATGAAACTTCTTAGCTGTCACTTTGGAATCACCAGAAGCCAATTCTCTTAACTCAGTAATGCAGCCAAGAATTTAAAACCTGTTTCGCTTTTGAGTTGTTAGGTAATTTCCAATTCAAGTGAAAATCACCTAATATAATAAATGTAAGCAGTGGCAGAAGGACAGTCTGGTTAAAATTATATTGACTGATGGCCTTAGGGATCAAGAAACTTCTACTGAGAACAGAGAAATTTCCTCATCCCCAGGGCCGACTAGAGTCTATTTATTTCTCATATGTACCAAGGCATCTTCTACTCTCCATCTGCTGTCTATGGACCCAAATATGCGCTCAGTTCCGCAGAATGTCAGGACCAAATAACTTCACAGCTACTCTGCAAAGGGCAAATTTTAGTGTCATCAATATAGTTTCCCTAGTAGCCTGTACCCTGTTGCATGTCATGTAGATTCCAGCTTCTGTAACATAGGCAGCTGCACTGCCCATCCCTGTTATTAAAGCAAAAAGGGTGACTGGTACCTAAAAGCCCTTTCCTCTAGCTGCCAGCTCATCAGAAAAACATATTTTGAAAAGTCGCTTGAAATTTTCCTGCTGCATTGCACTCTAATTTTGAAGGACTCACACCATAGGAAATACATCTACTCTAGTAAATAACTGATTTAGGTGTTTATTGAACAGCTTTCATTAACTTAATGCCACCATTGATTTAAAAGTGAAGGAAATTTAACAGGATCCAATGGAATAAGGGAATGTGGAGTACACTGGGGAAAAAAAAAACCAGCAAACAAAAAGTTACCAATTACATTTTCTGGAATGAAAATCTAGCCACTGAAACTGGTTCATCAAAAGACTTCCTTTCCACTTTCCGGGTTTTATTTTCTAAATCACCTTCATGGAATGAGATGGGAATGTCATCAGAGATTTTTCAGTGCAGTCCTGATAGGCTGTTTACTAAAAAAGAAATTGTTGTCATGTTTTGATTTTCAAATGAGTGACTTTGCAGGCTTTTGCTAGATTTGCAGTGCTGTGGGTCTTGAGATTTCACGCAGAGCCTGCAGTCAAGATCACCGAGACATTGACGCCCATCAGGAACTCTGTGTTTTTCTGATTGTGTCCTTTAATGTGACCTGCAACAGGGTAGCATTCATTTAGGGTAAGACATGATAGTTGTGATGAGACCGAAAAAGCAAAATTACCAAAATGTACTAAAGTATTATGGGTCTTGGGAATATCTACCTTATATGATATAGTCAAGGAAATTAACAAAACATCCTGTAAAACATTTTATTGAAATGTTTACTAGTCCAAAGGCCAAAGCTGATTCATTTACACCTTTGAAAAGTTAGTACATACTTTTGAAATCTGTAGTTTCATTTTATTAGACTAAAAGAACAAATAAGCTTTATTACACCACAGCTGCATCTACATGACATTGACATAAAATTGAAAAAAAATTTCAGGCAAATAACTAGAGATTTTTTTGGAGGTGGTTTTACAGATTACCAAATAACCAGCTTGACTGATATTTCTCTCATTGAAATAGCCAGTCATGATTAAATTGATTAAACCCTATACCTGTTTTGATGTCTTGTACAGAAACCTATAAATACAAACTGAACTTGCAATTTTTTTGCAAAAAAATCTGTGCATTAGAACAGAGGGCAATAAGTCTGCTCAATTTTATTATATTAAGTATGTATTTACAGTTCACCCAGACAGGCCTTTTTTTGTGATGATAAAAAAAGATAGTTGTTGATTAAATTTTCAGACCAAGTGTAGGACGGGTACAATTTTTGAGAAATAGCACATTTGTAGGAAGTGCAAAGGAAACTGACTTCAAATAATGCTTGTGATCAGGAAAGTTACCATAAGGTAACAGCTTGATATTTCATGTTTTCTTATTCACCGATTCCAAAATTAGATTCATTAAATATAAAAGTCAATGCATATTTGGGAAATAATTCTCCCAAAGTTTTAAGGTTCACATGTTTGTGTAGCAAGATGTGTCTGCTTCTAGTCATTAGAAATTGACATCTGATTACAATTTAACTAGAGGGCAGTTATTTTACAACAAAGATGCAGGCAGGACAGGGCGCTACGTGCTCTTGAGGTCATAATTTGATCGTGTTGGCAGTTGTTATTAAAACTTGTGAGGATACTTAAGCATCTCAGCAGAAATATTGGAAACACATATGTATCATACCAAAGTGCTATTTTTATAGCTTCATTTTTTAAAACTACATTCTTGAACAACTTCTCCACTTTCCTCATGCCTTTTTCCCACCGTCAATTTGGCAACACTTTCCTTATACGTAATGCTGACAGCTCAAGAAGAGTGTAAAAACAAGTCTTTTGAAAATCAAGTTAAAGGTGACTGTGTAAATGCCCAAGCACAGAGAGCATTGCAGCTGCTTTTCTAAAGTCGATGTGTTCTCAAGCCTGACAAAAGCACAAGGAGCAGTTTGATACACTTTTAAAAGACTCTGGAAACAAAACTGTATGTGAATCATCTCTCTTTTGAGCAAAGTAGAGCAACAGAGTATATTGCTTTTGTCAGAGGCTTTTGTAGTACATGTTTTTACTGATAATTCTTGTTCTCTAGAAAGCTTTCTATTTCTAAACCACAGCAAAATGAATTCTTCATGTCTTTGTGTTTTTGTTTACACACCCACCGTGTAGCCCAGTTTGAAATATTTATCTGGTTGTCAGATCTCCATGGAGGCCCTACCTATTACCAAGCCTCCTTGACATCCACAGACCACACAGGAATTTGTAAGCACAATTTCCACAAGCACCTTGTGTGAAGATGGATGAGGTTAGACTAGTCCCCTCTGGTCACTAGGCTCATGGCTTGAAGAAGATGAAGATCTGGTTTTGCTAGATCTACCACAGTCTTTCTTTCCTTATCCACTCAGTGTTGAGCTTTACAACACTTTGGGAATTAGGAAGAAAGGAGACTTTTCTAAAACAGATAGTGGAAGCTCAAGTGGTGTACCTCATTTTCAGATTCATTTGTCTCTGGTGGAATTTTTTTAATGAAGAGATAAAGAAAATGTGTGTGATCTTTGAATAACACATCCCTGTAGAAAGTGGATAAAGTTTATACCAAAATTATTATACAGATAGATAAAAAAAATAGGTGCCTTTTATGATTACCCTGGTTTATCCATTAAGGTCTTAGAAAGAAAAACCAAGCAAACAAGCTTCTGCCTATTCTATAGTAATATTTTATTATACATGATTGATATTTTTGTGGTAGGGAAGGGATCCTCCTGACAGATATTAAAGGTGGTGGCTGATTGTATTTTACTCTAAAGGTTTAGAACTTTAAAAAAATGTTGACTTCTTCCATCTCTTTCTGAAAGGTTCTTTGTGGATTTATATATACAGTTGAGATGAATAAACATTAACTTTAGATTTGAGATTTGAAATATCTATTGTAAGATAGAATAGTTATGTTATGAGATCAGATTCACTACACAAGATGAACTTCACTTCATATGTTGACTATACCTTAACTATTTGCTTCTGATGGTAATAATAATAATAAAAGGCTAGATTGTGGTTGCTTTGGCTAACATGACATGGAGGTGAGAGAGTTTTAGTTAAGTTAGAAACCATGTCAACCAACTTATGGATGTTAAAATAAAAGTCTCTTTTTGAAGTATTCCGTCCTCTTGTGGACCATTTCCAGACAACAAACTGTCAACTGTTGTTGATGGAAAAAGTCAAGGCATGTATGTTGCTGCAGTGGTCATCATTCCATGATGCTTAGACTACTGGATTCCATAAGCCTGGAAGGATCCCTGGGCAAATCTCCTCCCCAGTTGTTCATATTACTTCAATGTGTTCATGGAAATTCTGTATGCTTTTTGTGTTTGCTACATGGTATCCAGTTTGCATAGTATATACTTCTTTATAATCCAGTTGCTGTTAAGAATGATTTACTTTAAAGGAAAAGAGAAACTGCATCACTGTATCAGTCTCATTCTTCAGTGTCCATAGGATAAATTCCTGAGCATTTGGGAAGCAACACTAAGTGTATAAGGGGCATGATGTGAAGCTGTTGATCTTTGACCTGTGATAAAAATTGCAAAATTGAACCATTGTGCACTTTGACTTCTATTTACTTCAAAATAAGTAGAGTTGTGGCTGATGATTAATCTGTAAGACTGTATTAACTTTGGGAGCCTAACAGTTTTGAAGAAAACATGTCATGCTTTCAAATGAAGGGGCTTACAGAACGATATGATGTTATTAATATAATCTGGCTTTTGTTATGCAAATTGTTAACACCAGCTATTAAAATATATTTTAGTAGAAATGCTTTAATTCATGTTTTTTTCCTCTACACTGTGAATCTTTAAGCCTTGGTGGACTAGAGCAACATCGTGCTGCCCAAAGGACTTAACCTATGCAAACTAGTTCACATTTTAGTGGATGTTGCAGTTAATGTGTAATAAGACATTATTTCCCCTGCACAATGTACAACAGCATTGAAATAACACATAAGCCTGGCATTATGTATGTATAGTAGAGTCACTAACAAACTCTTCAAGGCTACCATCATCATTAGTATTAAGATTTGTTTAAACGGAAATCACTGATTAATCTATTGCAACTACTTGAACGATGTCAAAATAAGAATGGCAGATGGACATGCTGACCATGGCTTACATGTGGTCCCTGCAAGTGTCTCCTGCGATAGAAGTGCGTTCTCAGATACAATCTCTTCAGGGTCTTAATATTTTGTGTCTTCTTTCTGTATTTGTAAAACATTATAACACATTAATTTCCTATCTCTACACATTTGGTTTGCTTAAATAAATGCAGGATATAACAAAATGGTTCTAATTATTGACTCTCACCGTGGTTTCTTGGCATATAGGTTATTAGAGGCAGGTAACATAATGTCACAACTCATATCAAATTGCATAAAAGGTGTGTATGGCTTTCAGTTCATCTACATTGGTGAGTCATTCAAAATATATTTTCCTCCCCAATATAAACTTAGTTTTAAGTGATGACAATATTATGCTTTTCAAGCTTTGCTTCTTTCTGATTTTATATCAAAACTCTGCAATAACACATCATTGTAGTTAACTTCTTTCAGGATTAAATTCCTCATGAGTCCTCGATAGTAGAATTCTAATTTTCTTGTATTCATAAGATGAAAGAAACAACTTGGAGCAAATAATAGAAAATGTACAAAATTCGTATTTGAAATGGGAAGATACTCTGATTTCTCAGTTAAGAATGGTTCATTCGTTTATCATAGAACATAATTGCTTTCCCCCCTAATTGTTTCATAATTGAAAAAGTAAGTTAGTCCTTATTTTTGCTCTCATATAAATTATTGATACTTGGATCTTAGTCTTATTGTATTATTTTGTAAAAGTTTTTCTTTGGTTCCTAATCCTTCCTAATTGTAAACTGATAAACATTGTGGATGATACATTTAAGATGTGTAAACAGGCAAACTTTGCAGATGACGCCCACTCATAGAATAAACACTTCTTCCACATCTTGAATTTTCCGTTTTGTAAATTTCAAAAGAAAGAAAGGAATATCTTAATGGTATTATTCACCAGACATACTCATGATATTTTAAATTACAGAACAGCACAGCTATTTATTTGAAGAATTTACGATCTTTTCTTCCCTCCTTCTGGTATTTTTTTTTTTTTTTTTTACTCTTTGGAACCCAGGTCACAGAGGAAATGAATACCTTAGAATGATTTTTTTTCTGATAAAAAAAATTTAGGTTTAGAATATATTATGCTTATAGTTTTATTATCCTAATTTTAAAATTTGTGAAGTTAGTTTTATAGGTAATTGAGACCTGAGTGACCACCAGAAGCCTATTCAAATAACTTCCTACAAAAATAGACGTAATAAATTAAAAAACAGATAAAATAAAAGTTTTCTTTATGTAATCTGCTTCTCCTGCACAAAGGGATTGAATAAAAGTTTTGTGGTGGCAGAACACTGGATATGGTCTAAGTGTGAATGTCAGTTTCATTCTGTGGTTCTAAGCAAAATTTACAGGTCTTTGTCTATTATATTTGTACTTGGAAGCAGCAGAATTCTGATGAGAAAATAGAATGAGAAAATGGATTTAAAAAGTGAAAAGTCAATGTCAGAGCCAAGGGCCCCGATTTTGTGTTTATAGCATGGCATTTTGATCTTTGTAGCTTCTCCTTCCCTTACTCTTTTTTTTCTCAGTAACAAACATGAAAGGGAATAGCAGACTGAAATAGAGTAATGAGCGAAATCTGAACTCCTGTTATTCCGCTTGAGAAAATAGGAACCTTTTCTGCATCCCAAATTTAGCACTTTCAGATTGCTCTGAAGTGAACTGGTTTCTGACTCTTTTTTTTTTTTTGGGTTGGAGTCTCACTCTGTTGCCCAGACCGGAGTGCAGTGGCCGCTCCCAGCCACCGCAGCCTTGACCTGCTGGGCTCCAGCGATCCTTCTGCCTCAGCCTTCCAAGTAGCCGGAATTACAGGCATGCGCTACCACGCCCGGCTGATTTTTTTTTTTATTGTAGAGATGAGGTCTCGCTGCCCAGGCGGGTCTCGAACCCGCGGGCTCAGGCCATCCACTCACCTCAGCCTCCCAAAGGTGCGGGATTACAGGCTGAGCCACCGAGCCTGGCTGGTTTCTGACTCTTGACCCAGGACAACCACACGTCTTGCCCTTTTTCCAGAAGGCTACTGCCCAAGGCCATGCGGCCCCAATTGCTTTTTGTTATAAATGGACAGCAACGCTCTATCCCACGTGATCTGACTTCTCTGGTCACAGCTGACTGGATTTAGGTGACCCAGGGTTGCACAGGAACTTTGCCTGACAGAGATGATGGTGACTGAGCCTGCCCACATCTCCTTGAAGAGGCCTGAGTATAATATGTAAAGCAAGTTGACTAACTGGTTGTATTATTAAAACCTAAAAGACAGAGAAAGAAGTCAGGAGGAAGCCTAAGCTGTGAGTGAGAAAGACTAACCAGAATGTATAAGAAAAAGCCATGAGATGGGAAAAGATATTTAGAGTAGACAGAGTAGTTGGTTAGCAGTGGGGGAGACACAGGGTGATGGGAGAAACAGATTCTAGTTAATGGCAGCCCCTTATGAGGAAGCACCAACTCCCGCCACTAGTCAGTGCCCGCATCCATCCCAGGCATGTAAAGCCCACCCCTGGGGCGACCTCCTGTGCTGTCCCTGCATGTCTGTAGGACCCCCTATGAGACCATAGCCCATATCCCTCTTCACCTTTGCATATAAGCCTTCTATTTCTTGAGGTGCCTTCAAGAGGCTTCGATCCCACGCCTTTGGGAGGCTGATGTGAGCGGATTGCCTGAGCCCGCGGGTTCGAGACCCGCCTGGGCAGCGAGACCTCATCTCGACAATAAATAAGAAAATCAGCCGGGCGTGGTAGCGCATGCCTGTAATCCG